GAATAAGTAACTTAGCTATTTAAGTTTAGAAAATTTGAAATATTTCTTTAGAACTTGTAGTATGGTCTCTTTTATATGCATGTAAGAGGAGTAAAATACCACGTTTAATTGAAATTACAAAAACTACAACTCTTCTTATATACTTTTAAATTAAAAAGTGTTTTAGATAAAGATTTTATGAATAATAGGATTCTGGTATTTTATTATTATGAACCATCTTAAAAAATTTGATGAACTTAAATCAAATTCCTTCGAGATAGCGTTTAAATGGACGGGTGGGCAGACAATTTTGGACACACATGGCTAAGTTGATCCAGAACTCAATGTTGTTCAAAAATATATAATTATGCCTACATCTCAGACGTTAATTTCTCACCGTTACAGATGGAACTCAAATTTATAATATGATCATATTTTCGTACATTTATAAACTTGTGATGCCTTCAACACATAAGCGACCGCAAGATAATGGTTACCTGCTAGCCATCAGATACAAATGAGCAATTAAGAATGAGGAATTAAAATGTGAAAATGTAACTTTTGTCCGCATGTACATGTTCTATGGACGCAAAGTATTGATAGTTATATATGTAGGTAGGAATCATAAAATTTTCCAATCTACTGTACCAAATACACAAATACATGATAGGAACTTTTTTTAAAGCGAATTGAAATCCTAATTTTAAAAATATGGTCGAGACAAACGAAATATTTTTTTCAAATAAAATAGGCTATAGTAAATGGAATATATAAATCTGCAAAGACAGCATGAAATTAAAAATAATATTGATTTAAAATATGGTTTTGGAAAATGATAATTACTTTTTAGAACTGTCTAATACTTAATTATAACGTATATATTACTTTCTTACGGATTTTAATACTGCCCAGAGGGAAAGCCATCCATATTCTACGCACCCTTTTTAACATCACTTCTGATTTAATATACAATAAAATTATTAATAATTTCCGATTTTAACTTCAGCGATAAATGAGCTCACTGAATATAGCCTTTCATAATTTATTTTCACTTAAAATCACAATCAAAATATATGACATAACTTTAAAAGTTTTTGTTACAAATCAATTGTTGAAATATTTATAGCAAGTTCGCATTTCTTCCAACCAATATGATATTTAAATTCGCTTTACAGAAATTCTTGTAAATTTGCAAATATTTCCACTAACTATATTTTATTTTTACCGACCGTATTGTGTAAACATAGTAGGGAACTTCTCCATAGTAGGGAAGTGTAAGTAAACTATTTTTAGCAACCTGTCGGTCCGTCGGTCTGTCGGTCTGTCGGTCTGTGTGTGTACGCGTGTATCTCAGGTTCTGCTGAACCGATTTTGATGAAATTTTATATGTAAGTTTATTTCCACCATGGCACGGATTGAACAACTTTTGGAATATTGATATAGGCCTGATGGCCTCGGGAACTGCACTTTTTAGCGAGCCTGTTTTACATTTTTGAACATTTTCAAGAAAGTATTCAACCGATTTACTTGAAATTTCATATATAAGCTTTTCTCGACCGTCCGCAAAAATTCCTAACTTTTGGAAGAAATCAGACATCAGCAACTGGACGTTTACTACGAGCCAAATATACATTTTTGCGTATATAAAGAGAAATAATCAACCGATTTCATTGAAATTTAATATTTGAATTCCTCGTATCAAAACAATGAACATATAAAAAATTTTTGGAAAGATCAGGGCTCGAAAACTGATCTGCGGGCCGATTTTACATTTTTCACCATATCTACGGAACGAATTGATGAAATTTCTTGAAATTTAATATTTGAGTTCTGGTTAACTGGCAAGCATTTCTGGGAATTCGGGTAGCATAAAGCGAAAATCTAGTAAGAGCCAAATTTACATTTTTCTAGGTATGTTTACTATAAGCTTACTAATGTCCTAAAAATTGGAAAGAAGTATTTAAAAGAAATTTTTATAATATTCGTTATGTGCTGACCACATCAGATTTTTTTTTCTCTCTTTTGGCAAAGTAAATTTCAGCACATTACAAATATCTTCAATAATAAAACGAAATACAAAAAACAAAAGGATATTTAAAGCTTAAAAGAGAAGGTCAAATTCTGAGAATAAATTAAATGTTTAAATTTAATAACTGTTTTAATTCTACGTATTTAAATTTTGAAATACCCATGACATGGCCAAAGACATATACTTTTATTCTCCCTCTGGAAAAAAAAGAACAAAAACATCAAAACAACAGACCGCTAGAATTTTAACTTAAACCTATACCATTTAAATTTATTTTTAAAAGTAGCGAAAAATAATGATATACGATATTAAATATGAGAAACAAGAAACAAAAAATGTCCTTTTTCCCTTTTAATCAATGTTATTTGATGTTTTTTTTTTCTCCTTTTTGGCGTATTATGAAAGACTTAAATAACTTTCTTCTTTTTTTTATTTCACATAAATAACAGGGGGATTATTGCGATTATCAATATATATTTTATTCAATTAACATTTTTTCAATATTACCAGGATAAAAATCTTTAATTATTTAATTTAAAAAAAAAATTGTTTTTCGAAAGGGATTTAATAAAATAAAAAAAAAAACTAAAACGCATAAAATATAATATGTTCAGTTGAACGGAAAAGGTAATGGCTATTTCGGAAGAGCTCTGCCAGGGCTGCGGCAGGCCAAAGAGTGTCTGGGAGATAATGACCAGAAGCGTTTTAAGAAGATTATAGAATTAGGTAAGAATCAGTTGAAAATTCTCACGGGGATCCTGTTGGGTCACTGTAGAATTAGGGGGCACCTCAGTAGGTCTAGAAAGTGGAGACACTTGCAGATTCTATCGGGAGGAGAACTTCGTACACCTTCTGGGAGAATGTAATACAGGAACGAAAATATTAGGGGAATTTACTCTCACAAAGACAGTGTTACAGTCTTTCGCGCTTCACAAATTGCTTCAATTCATCAGCAGAGCAATTCATCAGCACCTAAGAGGGACACTCAGGGGGGCACAATAGATCCTTATACGAGGTTGCAGCGCATTGCTACCCCGGTTGTCCAAATCTATAATCTTCAATGTAGGTACTTATTATCCTTAATAACTGATAACTTTCTTTTTGTCTCATTGTTTAAGCGCAATGTGCATTTCATAGTACTTAAAAAACTTTAAATATTTTTTATTTCATTACCACTACATAAAATTGCCAAATTTTTCGAAATATGAAATAAGATTAAGTGTTCGTTATAAGATAATCTTTAGTTAGTTATAAGATAATGTTTTCTGCATTTTTCGTCTTATATCTAAAATAATGTTCTTCGTGCATTTTCGGAAAACAACAAAATGAATATTGCTAGTTCGTGAATATCGAAATGTAAGATCATTGACTAACTTCGGCGTAATTAATAAATTTTGTATCCAATTAAGAGCAAGCAATCTAAGCAGTAAACTCCTCTCTAATCCATTTAAATATTGAAAAGTTTCATGAAAATATTGTATACAAATTTATATCTAACTTTGATAATGAAGAGTAGTGGCACTAGAAATAGGGAGAAATTTTTCTGTTTAAAAAAGTTTGACATAATCTAGTTTAAGATGAAACGAAATTTGAAAAGTTTTCCTAAAATCGCGTTACACAGATCGTAAAATATGTTGTTCCTTATGAAGCTATGAAATTTTGGAAAAATTTTAAGTTACAGGACTAATGAATAGTAAGATATGTGTATTAAATCAATAGACTTGTAGAAAATAGACCTTTATTGTGAACATTAAACAAAACACTCTTTTTCATTTGACACACACTCTGTATATTTACTTTACCCAATACCGTATAATTTTATTTTTAAGTAAAATAAATTTTTGTCCCTTCTACACCGATAAAATCTTTATTTTAAAACAAAAGAAAGATCTTGAAAAACAAGAAAGAAGAACGAGCAAAAAATAAACCAAGTCCTTTTTTAAGGACAAACATAAACAAAGACAAAACACTGAAAAAAATTAAAAGTGTTTATTTCTTTCTTACCTCTCTTATTGCAATAACTAGTTGACTTAGAAACAATATGAGGGGCTTTCTTTATACAAATATGTATTGTACAATTTAAGCTACCATTATGTCAAATACTTATAAGTTCAACAAAAGGACAAAAAAAATACCTTCAACCATGAGGAAACGAAAAAATTCTATGTCAGTTTAAAACCAGTCATTTTATTATACTTTCAATTCTTATAGGAAAAAGAAAGGAAAGAAATGTAAGAAAGGAGAGTTAGAAATTTTATAGGTATGCACGGTAATATTTTAATTAAAATAATGATTTTTTTTTCTGTCTCTCTCTTTCAATTTCCTTTAAAATTATACCTTACTTTTGTATATTAATTTTTTGCTAATCAATTATGAAGGCTAATTTTTTCTTAATTTTTCTGTTCCATTTTAAATATTTTTGTGATGCGTAAAGAAACGCATTTTCTTTTTTTTTAACCTTAATAAATTATTAATGTTCTTAACGATTATGCTATATAATATTTTTTACACAGTAAAATCCTGGTTTTATGAACTTTTTGAAATTTATATTTTTTGTATACAGAAATTTTAAGACAGGAAGTTTTCCTTAGTGATATAACACGTGTAAGATGAGTATTGCGTACAAAGTAAATAGGTACGTCATGCAATTAATTTCATATGCCAACAATAAATTAATCAAATACTGCATTTAACTTTTAAGGTCTCCTTTTTCGTATAATAGAATTTTCAGGTTTTTTTAGGTCAGTTTAAAATAAAATGAACTAACAACTTTAAGGAAAAGCAGAATAGCTCAGTTAATTTAATTTCGATGTGAGTAGGTACTTTGTGATGTGAGTAAGTACTTTTTGAAAATATAATTATGTATACAAATATATTTTTAATATATTTTATATATTTTGTAAAAATTATTGGAGGTAATAAAAATTAATAAATTTTTATTACCTTATTTAATTAATAAATTAAAAATAATTTATTTACATAATAAACTTACCTAATATATGAACGGCAACAGCGGGTGGCATTACAAATATACCAACTAATAAATCAGCAACGGCAAGACTCATTACAAAACAATTGGTAACAGTACGTAAACGTCTTGTTGTTATAACAGCTAATATAACTAATGTATTGCCAATAATTGTAATCACAATGAATGTAAAAAATATTGTTAAAAGGCATAAATTTTTCCAATTAAAATGATCCGAATAATGAAAATTTGAATCATTAATTGTTCCTTCTATTGTTGTAGTAGTTGTTGATATTGCAGTTGCTGTAGCAGTTACCGTTGCATTTATATTTATATGTGTATTATAATTATTAGATATTGTATAATTAAAATTACTTAATGTTGTATTTAATGTTAATTCAAATAAATCATTTGCTGTTGTTATTTGTGTTCCATGTAATGAATTTGATGATGACGATGCTGAAGATAACGATGATGTTGATAATGATGATATTGATGACAAAGACGAAGATGATGATGATAATGATGATGTTATTTGTGATGATGAAGTAAAATTTGTAAATGGTATAAATGTTGTTGTATCATATAGAAGAATATTACTATTATTATAATTATTATTATTATTGTTATTATTTATGAGATTATTGTTATAATTATTTGTATTAATTGTACTAAATATATTATCCATACTAGTCATATCAAATACTGATAAATCATCAATATTATCATCATCATTAAAATCTTCATTTAATGTATTATCTAATATTATTGTATGGAATGATTTTTCTAATTGTAATTTTTGTTGCAATTCATCATCTTCTAATTCTTTTTCACGTTCTTGATCAATAATAATTCCTTGTTCATGCATTATATTACTATTACTATCATCATTATAATCATTATTATTTTTATCCATTTCAATAGCAGATATTGTAATGTCTTCAATATTATATTGTCCTATTCTATCCGTTTTCTGATATTCATATTGCCCTATATTATGTAATTGTTGTTGTTGATGATTTAGTTGTTCTTTATTTTCTTCAATTTGTTTTAAATGTTTTATGGATGGAGAATATTCTGTTTGATTTATATTAAAATTATCTTTTTCCGTATAATATTCATTTGAAAAATTATCACAAGAAAAATTTCTTGATTTTATAGAATATTGTGGTATTGTGGTTGCGGTTAACGTTTTATTTGTAATATCTTTATCTACTGTCGTTATTGCCACTGAAAATGTTGATGATGACGACGACGACGATGTTGATAATGATGATGATGACGCAAAAATTTCCTGTGCATATGAAGAAGACGTTGATTTTGTTGGTGGTAATTGTTCTGATGAATGCGAATATGATACTGATGATGGTAAAGGTAATGATGATGACGATGTTGGTAATGATGATGATGATAATAATGTATCATTTTTATAAAGTTTTGTTAACGAACAATCATTTTTATTTATTTTAATATTATTAAGTTTTACGTGAACACTACTACTACTATTACGTATTCTACTGTCATTATTATTAATTTTAATACTGTGATTTTTTATACTATCATTGCTACCGCCACCACTAAATAACAATGATGTTTTATTTAAAAAATTCATTGATATTTCAATTATTATTACTAATTTTATATTATTATTAATTTTTAAGTTTGATAAGAACAAATATTGAAATTTATTAAATAGATGAGATTCAATTTTAATAATTGCTATTGTTGTTATTGTAATTATAATTACTTCTACTTTTATTGTTGTTGGTATTATTGTAAATAAATGTTGTAATATTAAAAAAATAATTACATAAATTATTGTAAAATTTTCAATAAATCGAACGTAAGTGATGTTTAGCTTTTGATTGTCATTTTGATCATAATGAAAATTTTTCATTTCTATAACAATTCATGTAAGTAAGAAGAAAATAATTTGCAATTTTTTTTTTATATTTTTGTTTTTTTTTTTTTGTTGCTGTACTTTCAAATTGGTTTCCTGTACTTAATTGCTGTTATGCTAGTCCATTTTGCATAGTTTTATCTAAATTTATTTTGAAAATTTGCATAATCCTTGTGGTTTTTCATATTGATGCTTTTAATATGTTTGTATGTAGAGAACAATTAAGCGTTGTAATTTTGATGAGGGTTTTGCAAAAAATTTAATTCTAAAAAGAAAAAAAATATCAATAAAATATTTTTTTTATTTAAAAAGTTTAAATGCGTTTAATTTAAATTTATTCTTAGAAGGTTACGAAATTTTATTTTTTGAATTTATTTTTAGCACTTTCTCAAAAAAAGTGCTTATTATTTTCACTTTTTCCGTCCGTTCGTCCGTCCGTGGACAAGTTAACTACTTTTCTACACCCTTAAAGATATAAAGCTAAAATTTTTTATGTACACAGATTTTTACCGCAACTTATTTTAGTAGAAGAAAATTTTTGTTAATCTCACCCGTACCAAATTTTAAAAAATCCATTTTTCATCACTATTTATTGAAACGATACCATAAGCATTTTTCAAATATTGCGATCATAGAAAAGTAGTGGTTGATTTCTTCTACCACGGCTTTAAAATCAAAATGAAAATTAACTGTTATCTAAAATCTGTTTTTTTTCCAACTGTTTTTCTTCTAGATGATAATCTGTAGAAGCTTGAACTTTTATTGGAGGAAAACCCAACTTTCACTGGAGGAAAGTTTTTTTTAACCTACATTTTTACCCTCTTAAGTTATGCTCATTCGAAATTTACAAAATTTGAAATTTTAACTCTTAAATTTCCGAAATTGCTAGCTTTTCTAAATTTCTATGAATACAAAAAGCTAACAACAATTTCCGAGCCATCAAAATGTATAATTATTTTCCTCAACTCACGCAATTAAGCCTTGAATCCAAGTATTATGTTAACGTCTTTAACTTTCAATTATTTTTGGTGGCTCACCCTAAATGTAACATATGCAATTTTTGAAATATTTCGATATATGAATGAAAAAGCAGTAGCTATTTTTAAAAGTAGTATTTTTAAAACCAGTAGTTGAAGGGGAAAAGTGCTACTTTACAAATCATTGGTTTGACCCAACTTTATTTTGATTATTTTTTTTTTCCTTTTGTTGTTAAATATTAAAGAATGGATTAAGTATTGAAAATAATAACGGAATCTTTGTACTTTCAAAAAACCTCACTTTTTTGAGAGAGAAAGAAGTGTGCGTGAATTTTGTACATAGGCATTATTTGTATAGTTGCTTATAATCAGAATAAAATAAAATAAAAGAAAATTGAAAGAATAAGTGATGTGTGATGAAAAGTAATTTGTTTTTTTTTGCGTTCCCAAAAAAAAATTTTATTTTGAATTTGGATTTTTTTTTTTGCTTTTTTCCTCCTGGTGTTTTCCTTCTTTTCAGAATGACTTTTTTATAAATTGCATACATACACGTTTATAAACATGTAAATGTAATTTGTTTTTTACGTAAATTGAATTTTAAAAACACCTCAAGGCGTAATCTAATATTTTATTCTTTGGATTATTGTTACAATAAGAATCCTTAAATTTAAAATTATTTTCAAAACAGTTTTATTTTCCAAAAAAAAAAGAAAATTACAAATATTCGGTCTTTATGACTTTTACATATTGATCACAAAATTTTTATATTTTTAAGATGCCATAACAATGTTTATTAAAACTCAAACTTTTTCTTTAAATGGAGACATGACGGATTGAATTCATAAGAATGTCCTCCATTACGCATGTATTCGAACCGGTACAGATATGCCGTTAACACCATAGATAGGATTTGTATATAACTACGCAGCCATTTTGTTGGAAATCGAAACTGGTTCCTATCTCTAATTTTTTAACGAAAAGCTTAAAAATATGAAAATTATTTAATAAATTTATAAGTAAAACATAAAGTTACTCTTAAATTCTATATTAAAGGTACTGGAAAACTGGACGATTTCAATTAATTATTTTCGACTACTTGCATTAACATTATATAGTTATTATGTTAATTCGTACATACGTGCATATTTCCAGGCATTTCTGTATAAAACATTTCTTTTTTTTTCTTTATTTCATTTTATTCTATTTTTATATTTTAATATTGCATTGAATTTAAGTATTCAGAGATATTAAAAAAAAAAATTAAAGCAAATTAAATTTCATAAAAATACTAATGTCTTTTAAATATACAATGAATTCCTTTTAGTTTATTACCAACTACAACAAACGAGGAAAAGAGAAATATGTATTTTAAAAATACAATGAGAACTATTACAGTAAGAAGTGTTCGATAAAAAGTTGCTACCATTATTTATTGTAGTTTGCTGTTATTTCCAAAATGTGGTTATAGGAAATAAAGACAATTTTTTCAATATTTTTTCACTATATCCATAGTATCTTTTATGATTTATATCCTAATTTACATAATTATGACAATTTCAACAGGGATAGTTTTCCGACTATATCGACCTTCCAATTCATTCATACAACTTTCTCAGTCTTAAACGCACACCGACCTCACATTCACACAATAGATGATTTACTGCAGTCTCTTACTCCTCAAAGCAAAGACTGTTGAGCAAAACTCACGCCAGAACTCTAAATAAATTTTTAATTCAACACTATATATAACGAAGCAGAATTTGAAACAGCATATAATATCAAATAATATACTTAGTTTATCCCAACACAGAGTGATATTCCAAAATCAATCACTAGTCCTAAATAAAGCTATAAAATATAATTTAAAAATTTTTTATTTAAAATTCCGAAAAATAAAGAATGGAAATACTGAATGCTTTTAAGATATGGCAATACAAAATACTCTGTATAAATGTTAATAAGAGATTACTAAATTTTAGTAGTTCATTTTTTCATATTAAAACTAAGTTGAACTTGTTGGGTTATTAATATTATCACCATATAAAAGTCATTTTCATGCTTACTTGAAAAATTGAATTGACAACTATAAGAAAAATTCAATTTAAATGGAAAAGCAAAAAAGAAGAAACAAAAACTATAATTCTGTACCCTTTTCATTTTACTTTATACCTAAATGTAGAATGCAATAAAATATCCGGAAAATTTACATTAAATATCTTGTAAATTGAATATTTCAATTTAAAAATGCTTCAGGTTCATTTTGCTATTATAAGAACAGCAGAGATTGAATTAACAATAGATATCCTTTTTCTGAAAATCATCATAATTCTTTTTAGATATTTTGTTCCATATAAAAATTTTTAAATCCCTCTAATAATGAATTAGTATATGTATAACAAACAGCATCAGAGAATAAGTTTACATTTCAAGTAAAAAACAAAAATACAAAAATAAAGACAAAAGGTTTTAAAAGATTTTAACAAAAATGTTTTTCAAAATGAATTTATATATGTAAGTCCATTGGAAGTTTCATTTTTGATTTAACTTAATTTATAATGTAATGTCCTTGAAAAAAAGGAGCTGAAAATTGAAAGGTTGATTTTAAAGCAAATTGCTTTGGAATTATTGAAAACTTTATAAATTGTCAGGTTTAGTTAAGTTTCCCTCTAATTAATCCCATATATAATATTATACTCGAATAGTTTCACGCTCAAATAACTTGTGAGTTAAGTTGTGTGTTAAGTCTTTATATTTTATCATGTTTATTTCATCTATTAACGTTATTTTGAAAACAAGAAGCGATTCCCTCTCACTAACAAAACTAAAAAATTATCATGAGACTATATGTACTTCCAATAACCAATTAAAACTCAACGAATGTGTTCAAATAAAATTACAACTCTTATTTTAGGAAATTTTTGAAAAAAAAAAAAACAGTGTGAGGCCTCATGTCCGGAAAAAGCAATTCAGAAGGAAAAAAACAAATTTAATACAATTTTATGCACTGTAAAGATTATGATTAACTTATATTTTATGGATTTTGATAATTTTAAAATAAAAATTACAATTAGGCGGCTCGTATTTACGCTTACAATTTACTAGACTCGTGATCATGAAGGCCACTTGCATTTTAAATAAAAACAAAATATAGTATGATTATGTGGTGTACAAAGAAGAAAAGTTTATTGCATTAGAGGACTAGAATAATTAATAATAATAGCAAAAATTCCCTTTCTTCAGAGTTCACGGCAATTCGAGACGTATTATAGCCTAGTATTTATATAAATTTTAAGATTGCTTAAAAAAAATTTTTTTAAAGAGCCAGATCCATAGAATCCTCCGCCCTCAGAAGAATCAACCAAAGCTTTTCAGAAGTCAGCTAAAGCTCCTGACATTTACATTCGACAGATCCATAGTTCGTTAAAAGAAAAATGAACCATGTTCTCTATCAAAACTGGATATAAGAAAAGGAGATGGGCAACTGTCTATGATTATGATGTAAGATTATGATATTAATAGCGTACATTTAAATTTTCTAAATTAACCTTTACAATTTTAATTTAATAAGTGAACCACAATATCTCTTTGTGGATATTTTAGACATTTTTAAATTAAATTCTTTAAAAATTAGTTTTAAATAAATTATAATTTGCACGAATAATATTTTAAATAGATATATGTTACGTTGTATTAGTAATTTAGTAATAGATATACGTAATTTTTAGAAGGAATTCCAGTTAAAATTTTTATCACAATTCATTTAGCGACAAAGAAACCATTATATGCTTTACTCGAAGTCATGAGTGAAAAAAATTTAGCTTCTTTTCATACTTTTTATTTTTAATCTTAAAAAGATAATTTGCGTTCTTTTTTCAATTTTTTTGTTCTCTCGTTTCTTTAATGCTAATTTTTACTCTCTAATCTCAAAATTCCATTAAAATCTATTCAGATTCCATTGCTTTTGAAAATTACCTAAAAGACAAACTATTAGATAGTCATTGTTTCCTTTTATTTTTTTCTTTTTGTTTAATAGAAAAAGTTTTGGGGCAGTCTTTTTGTCCATTATCTTTAACATACTTTTATTACTTTCTATAATTCATTTTATTTATATATGTACGTATACCGTTCTATTCATTATTAAAAATTCACTTACATATTTTTCTCTCTTGTAGTCCCTAGCAAAAGTAATAATATAAAATGACTTAATTTTTTTTGGTTTTAGATAAAATTCTAATTTTCTTTAGAATTAATATTTAAACGAAAAATTTTTCATTTGAGCCGGAAATTG